AGAATGCCATTCTCATCCACTCCTTAGCTCGTACATATCCCACTCCCATCCTCTCCTCAGCACTAGAATGCCATTCTCCTCCCCTTCTCAGCTGCTCGTACATATCCCACTCCCATCCCCCTTCTCAGCTCGTACATATCCCACTCCCATCCTCTCCTCAGCACTAGAATGCCATTCTCATCCACTCCTTAGCTCGTACATATCCCACTCCCATCCTCTCCTCAGCACTAGAATGCCATTCTCCTCCGCTTCTCAGCTCGTACATATCCCACTCCCATCCTCTCCTCAGCACCAGAATGCCATTCTCCTCCCCTTCTCAGCTCGTACATATCCCACTCCCACCCGCCTTCTCAGCTCGTACATATCCCACTCCCATCCTCTCCTCAGCACTAGAATGCCATTCTCATCCTCTCCTTAGCTCGTACATATCCCACTCCCATCCTCTCCTCAGCACTAGAATGCCATTCTCCTCCGCTTCTCAGCTCGTACATATCCCACTCCCATCCTTTCCTCAGCACTAGAATGCCATTCTCATCCCCTTCTCAGCTCGTACATATCCCACTCCCATCCTCTTCTCAGCACTAGAATGCCATTCTCCTCCGCTTCTCAGCTCGTACATATCCCACTCCCATCCTCTCCTCAGCACTAGAATGCCATTCTCATCCCCTTCTCAGCTCGTACATATCCCACTCCCATCCTCTCCTCAGCACTAGAATGTCATTCTCCTCCCCCTTCTCAGCTCGTACATATCCCACTCCCATCCTCTCCTCAGCACTAGAATGCCATTCTCCTCCCCCTTCTCAGCTCGTACATATCCCACTCCCATCCTCTCCTCAGCTCGTACATATCCCACTCCCATCCTCTCCTCAGCACTAAAATGCCATTCTCATCCCCCTTCTGAGGTCTAGGAATGAAGAGATTTGCCGGTTCTTTTGCACTCCTCGTGAGAATTATATTTTCTTAAACCTTATACATAACTTTATATCAGGGATCATATGTTAGTGTACTCGGGTGCATTGTCCTTGTCTTTGTTGACAAGTAGAAATAGCCAGTCCAATACCAGTGATGTTCTTCTTGGGGTGATCCTTGATCAACACCTCACTCGGCGCAAACATATAGAATATGTGGAAAACAGATGTCAAAAAGACCTGAAGGTATTACGGGCAATTTCAGGATCATCTTGGGGCATATGAGGGACACTCATCTGGACCTCTACAAATCTCTTATCATATCAAAAATTGACTATGGTTTCATTCAGCATCAAATACTGTCCTGAGGCGCCTAGACAGAATACAATACAAAGCCCTAATGCTGGCCACAGGCGCAGCAACAGGCACCTCACTAGAAGCACTACAAGAAGAAACGGGAGAACTCCCATTGAAACTAAGAAGAGAGCAGGCAATGTTATCGTTCTGGGGACAAACATCAAACCCTTTGGTTAAAAAGATATGGCAAGACAAAAACACTCGAGATGAAGCCCTAGCACGAAGAACTAAAGCCATCTGGGATATTAGTATGTGAACTCATCTATAGCCACAATTGTGATGACATTCAGCCTTCAGAAAGTCACTACAAAGGGTTACACTCTGGACTTTAAAAACTCCTATAGTTGACACTGCTTTAACATCAGAAGTCACTAAAAAAGAAAACCCAACCCTACTACGATCAGTAGCTATCACTAAAATTCAAACAAACTGGGACAGCTGGACCCATATATACACTGATGGATCCAAGAATCCTATCAACAATAGTGCTGGTTACGGGATCCATATCCACAGCTCTAAACCCCAAGCACATTCAGTTCGCCTGCCTGATGGTCAGTCAGTATGGCGACAGGTGGAGCTGTGTTGGATCCCCTCTCACATAGATGTTCATGGAAATGAAAAAGCAGACTCACTGGCGAAGCTAGCTCTAGACAAAGCGGATATACAGCCTATTCCCTTTAGTAAACTAGAGATAAAAAGCAAAATCAAAGCCTCCATAGCAGAAAGATGGCAAGCCCAATGGGTCGCAAGTAAGATCGGCAGATGGCTATACAAAATTGAACCTAAGGTCCAACAAAAGCCAAATTGAAATTGCTATCTCACGCCTCAGACTTGGTCACAAAAAGCACTATGACAAGGTTTGTTCATCTTGCAATCAGGCTGAAACCATTGACCACGTGTTACTAGAATGTCAAGACCATGCCCCAGCCCGGGCTAGGTTAAAACAAGAATTGCAGTTAGTTAGATCCGCTATCTGTCATAGATCTCCTAAAGCCAAGAGATGCAATAGCGAAGGCCAAACTTACTCTATTTCTGAGAGATGGACAGCTACTCGAACGTATATAAACAGAGCAGCCAAGGATAAAAATGAAATCATATCAATATAAGAAAATAGAAATCATATCAATACAAAAACAGAAATTATGTGAATACCAAACTCACAATAGATATGTGTACTCTACTCACACACAGGAGTCCCAAAGAGGGACAGGTCAGCCGAAATTGCTTAGGCAGAAGGCGACCTCTTAAACACTTAATGCAACAACAACAACAGTGATGGTCAATGGCCAGATTAGGTATGGGTAGATAAACTCCATAAATATTCCATGAGATGCATTCTTGAAATTGAGCGGCAAGAATGTCGAGGACGAGCTTAATATTTTGACAGGTAATTTGTGTGTTTGCCTACGGAGCACCTACGAAATATATTTAGTTACACTTGGCAGCCACGGGAACCGTACCATTACGGGTGACAGCGCCACTCCGATGAGAGGTTGACCGTTATATTGGCCGAGGCAACAGCTGCTACAGTCATGGTCCCTTTGTCTTCGACTTCATTGTTAGTTACACACAACTTGGTAATGACGGAACTTCCTTTTATCCCCTTTAATTTACCTTGATGACAGAACAATTTCACGAAAAATCGATGTGGCCAGTGGGATTCGAACCCGCGAAGTCCACACCGAAGGCGAACGAAAGAAATATTCTGCAACGGCGCGATGAACATATTATGTGGAATTAACACTGACATATCTACTAACATGAAGATCAATATTTAAACTGTTTATGAACGAATATATTTGTGATTTATTCAGTGTGTTATTCTGTACATTAAACGGACGTGTGATTTGTTAACTTTTTGTTAAACTTACTCTTTTCTTGATTAATGGTATAATTGCTCATAACAGGCCCGACCCGTGATGATCCGGGGTAGAATAGGTCTTCAGCAACCCATGTTTGCCGTAAAAGGCGACTAACGGGATCGGGTGTCAGGCTCAATGCCTGGTTGATGCATGTCATCATATCCTAATTGCTTGGATCGATGGTCCTGATGTCAATCACTGGATCGTCTGGTCCAGACTCGATTATTTACAGACCACCATCATATAGCTGGAATATTGCAACATCCCCTTAACAACAAACAAACAAATCATAATAGCCTCGCCAATATGGGCAAATAACATTTCTGTGACTGATGATATGCTGGAGTTGGTCCAGTATGAATTATATTTGCCCCGGGACGTGCATTTCATAAAATCCGATTCGCCAAAGAGCGGGATGCACGTGCCAGAGGCACGGGGAACATAATTCACGTGCATCACCCACAGGTGACAGACAGTTTTCTTACAGGTAAGCATGGCGTTCTTGAATATCAGTACAACTACGCTTATCAAAACAAGGTTGTTTAAACATTTCAGGTTTTGTCACAGCACACCTACAGCCCCAGAAAACATTTGGACAGTGAAACTCGTTCATATTCATTGGAGTCACAACAGAGGTGACGTCATCCGTCCAGGTGTACTATACATACAAAGCCACTGCACAACACAGGCCTGTCACGTGGTCTTGTCGGAAAACATCACTGACACACAAGGGGTAGCATTATATAGTGTGGCATGCACCAATCCTAATTGCAACAGCTCACAAAAATGATTTATTATCTTCCCACTAAGTAATTGATGGAACACGACTAGAATCTAATTCAAATTGTCAGATGGCAACTGCACGAACCAAACTACAGGAATCACATTCGGGAGATCCATGTGCACATATGCGGGGTCTTTCTACTCGTCTAGTTTACACCTGGGAGCCGGATTAATTACATTAGTGTCAATATTAAATGAACAGCTTTATACTAATTTAAGTATATTTCGTGTTGACCTAGTACACAAGAGCATCGAAAATACATATTCTTGTTGCAAACCAAAAATCTTAAAGTTTACAAATCGCCTCTAATTCATAAACCATGAATATGTGTCTTTACAAAAATACAAGCACATTCAGCAAACAGTTTTCACGCGCGCCAAACTTCCCATTTCAACTGTCAGGTTTGATCAATGAACCGTAAACCCGTCAAGCTATATAACCAGCTGTGACGCACTCGGCTGGTTTTGGTTGCAGACAGCATCCCCCCACTGTCGCGACCCGTTTCGTTATAACGCGCATCGTGACGATGTTATCCTGCTTTTGCTTTGAATGCTTTGTATACAACCGAGCGAGAATGAGTGTGTTTGATTTCTATTATCGGGTGGTTGCGTAAGGGTGTAACGCATGAACACGGATTCAAATAATATCGTTTAAATCGAGATGTCTGGTTCCGTACGTCGCTCTACTATCAGTCCTTGTCATAATAGGTCCCCGGACTATTTATTTCACGACAAAACCTCTTAAGAAATGCAGCCTGTGCGCAATTGCAAGGAGAAAAGACATGCATTCATAGTATTTTTAAAAATATATTTTGAGAAACTTGAGTCCATCCGTTACATAAGTCAAGTTCGAATTTTATGTCCACAAATCGTTGTGTATATGAAAGGAAACGATATGAACAATGTGTTGTTGTTTTTTTATATTAAAATCATAAAACAATTACCCGGGTTTCTTTCTCATCATGATCAATGTTTTTAAACGTCATTCATAAGTTTAATAAAAAGGGATTTATATTGAAAGACATATATTCTACATCAAGGATACGTGGCAACTGTCAATGAGTCTCAAGACCTCTAATGGCGAGGACGTCTGTGTGCGCACTCGTGCTGGGTATATATAGAGACTGCGCAACGGCATTCGTCATCAGTCATCTCATCCCAGCACCATAGAAAGCTGAGTGAGGCCTCTGTTTTCACGTTTAACTTGTTTTCCACATTTTATCAAGCATCTTTAACTATTCAACATGGTAAGTACTTTATTTAACATGTTTACTGAAAGATGACATGGTTTCTCAATCAAACTTAGCAATGATCGAGATTTTCCTATTTGAGGGATTTTCCTTACAAATAGACATAATTTATTACGGTTTCCCGACGTGGCAAGGAAGCAGTTTAAATTTCGATAATGTTTTGGAGGGAGAATTTGTGTGAGTATCATCGTGTATCTTCTTCACCACGCCTCTACGATTTAAAGGGTCGTCCATTTAAATATCGATTGTTCTATCGTTCCAGACCTTTCTTTAGATGGACTATGCAACACGTAATTTTACTCCACACGACACCGGCTTGTATTTGTGCCCTGTGAAAATTTTAAATTTAATTTTCGCTTAGTCACACAGTCGCCCTTGCGAAGTTTTCCAACATGTCTCCATCACTTGTGTGCTTGTGGAGATAGCGAGCTCTAAACATCAGGCAGTAAAGGTACCTGAAGCGATGCCGGGCGGGAATAACACTTTCGTTATTACGCGACATGTGTGCATCAGAAATAGTTTTCAGAAAATATAAATTTATCTTATGTCTGGTATTTCTTTATAAAGGCAAACGGTGTTACAGTTTGGTATGATTTTTATATTTATTAATACCGTTGTATTAGTTATTCGTTAAATCGAATGTTTTTTTCTTGAGATGACACGTGATGAACGAAAATGTTGTGAATAGAAATGTACAGGGCGCGACAGATGCCTCTCGTAGTCGAACTAAATAAAGTCACGAGTGCTAGTACACGCATGAACCATGTTTATACTACTTTGGAATTATTTTGTAGATATTTAAATATTTGAATGATTTGGGCGGTAACGGAGACGGACACTTAGGATGGAAAGAGGTCAATCAGATTTGAATATGCTGACCTAGTTGAACCGGCATTGTACAAGGGTTGTGGGTCAACAGTGCAACTGCAATGCAGTTTAGTGCCCGAGAAGGATATTTCAGTGGAAAGATATTGAGGTCAAAGTGAACACTTGTGCAGCAATAAAATCCAAGTACAACCCGAATAGCGACGTGTTGGTTTTCCGGTGTGACCTACTTTGTAACCACATTGCGTCTAAATAACTGCGCATCTGGGTTTTATTACAGTAGCTGCAAGCTTACATCGTTTAGTCGGCATACTGTCACATGTCGTGTTACGTAGTCTGTATCGTATTTCATCACTGGAAATTATTCAAGAGAAGTACTAATTGATTAATTATGCGTCATTTCTGACATTTGCTCGTGTGACCCAATATGATTTGTGATGTTATGTCATTGCTGAAAAAGGATCTGCGTGTAGAGCAGCGAATTACCATCTATGACCCTTTCAAGTTCCCTGTAGAATGTATAATGCAACATTCTTGAGGAAACCGGGCGCTCCTGTAGCGGGCCTATAGTGAAAGGTTGTATGAAGCAACTGAAATATTTGTCTGGAAGAAACACGATGGGTATTTGTGCTGGGCTTATTTAAACTGGGGAGTTTGTCAGTAACCTTAAGACCGTGTGGGTCACAGTAACAAACCAGAGAACTCATGGGAGGACTAAATATAACACAGACAAGCTGTGTGCTGGACCGGTCGCACAGCTAAGTAAAGTCGCATGTCCTTGATTCGTGAAACTCGACAGGAGGAAAACACCAGCAATAGCACATGTTATATTGTTTCCCTTATTAGGCGTGAAGTACCATTGTCCATTCATTGTCAAGCTGAGGTGTTGTTTAATAAAATCATAATTGCTACGTTTTTTTACCGACACAGAAATGGGGAGTTTCTTAAATACAAAATTAACTTGATTATTATTCATGTGTAGATGAAGAGTAACGTGAGTAGTCAGTATCATTTGTGGCTCAGTGCTGTATAACGAGGTTCGGCTATAAGGCGGTAAGTGATTTGCGTGATGGGTCACCATGACCACACCTAGTATTCTTTTGTTTTATGCTCACTGGTTCCCTCAACACACTATACTCAACTTTTGATAGGGTTAATCAAATACGGCATTCTATTTAAATGGACAGATTATGATTATTGTGTATCAGGGAAAGATAAAAGTCGTATATTTGATCCTCTCATAATTTATGTATTAAATGTTCATATTTTCAAAAGTATGATTAAATTTTCATACTAATATGGAGTACACCTCTGATGAACGTGGCGGGGACATTGCCAACTGACGCCATTGATAACTTGATGTGAAAACCTGGATATTAAAATAAATAACGGAGTTAAATGTAAGCAACTGTTGGTAGATTCTAGTAAGACATAACCATATACATTGATCTCCAGCTTTGGTTTGTCTGTTTAAGGCTGTACTCGACAATATTTGTCATCTGAAACAGTATGCGGTGCTGTTACATGTATACAAAAGCACGCATGTATCTGTTTGTCAATGTTTTCATGATTTATCATATATTTGTTTCAAATGCATACATAATGTTGTATTCATCAATATACGCCGACAACAGGTGAGCATAGAGCAGGTTGAATCCTTTATCATAATGGATCCCTATTCCTGAAAAAACCCTGTTATTTCGGTGCAAGTCGCTTCCGAGTGGAAAATTCCTCGCATTCCAGTTGTGGCATTAACATATTCAGTGTGATAGGCAGCAACGTTTAGGTAATAATCTAGTGATCGGCTGAGACCTACTCCCATCATGTTCTGTACGCCACACGATCTCGGTATAACGCGGTGAGGCAGCCGGCACGTTCTGGCGAGGTTGACACGTATGAACCAACTGAGAACACCTTCCTAGTTAAGGCAGTTTCAGCCGGTATTCCAGGACAGTTAGTGACTCATGCCACCTTTTCGTGTCGATTTGTTCATCCCGTTTCTCAAACCACCTTATATAGAATAGATGACGCATAACTGTGTGACCATGTACATATATGGGGCGCCCTTTTTAAATCACTCGAGTAGAAAGGGAGCCTTTCACGTCTTTTCCGAAATGTAATATAATGGGACAGTTGAGCGAGCCGCTGCGCTTGACAAACGGCACAAGCTGAGATGATAATAGTCCTTTACGCCTAGGCTAGCCCCGATTTATCAAGCCTCGCATGCAGACATTCGACTTAGGTGATCACGATTAGCTTGAGGCTATTTCTGATTATCTGCGTCACCTACCTACTTAAAAGTTGGTGATAAATCATGAACAAACACAAAGGGACAATTCACTATTATGCAATAAGGGACGATCATATCAATAAAGTACCATTTTCACCAGTTAAAAATGTGATCTTTCATTCACAATATGTACTCCAATTTCCCTATTAATGTGAGGTTATTGGATGTTGAAAATATACACGTACACTGTATGGCCAAGAATTGATTGATAACATCGGATATGGCCTAAGTGTGAATTGACAGGACCACGTGTTGTCTTTTCCACAATAACTAGGTAATAAGTACAACAAATACCACAATCGATAAGGATATTGACTGCGTTTGCTAAAACATTGCTTGTGTTTTTAAAGAATTTAATATTTCAGTAAAATTTTGTTTGCAGAGGGAATGTATCTCCATCCACGTCGGCCAGGCCGGAGTCCAGATGGGCAATGCATGCTGGGAGTTGTATTGTCTGGAGCACGGCATCCAGCCTGATGGTCAGATGCCCTCAGACAAGACCCTCGGGGGTGGGGACGACTCTTTCAACACCTTCTTCAGCGAGACTGGAGCAGGGAAACACGTCCCCAGGGCTGTCTTCGTAGACCTCGAACCTACTGTTGTCGGTAAGAGAATTGACAATTACGTAATTATGTGATTAATCTTCTCCATAAGTTATCCCCCGCCCAACGAAGTTGGCGGGGGATATGGAAACGGGCTCCATCCGTACGTCCGTCACGTTTCGTTTCCGGAGCATAACTCATAAACCGTTCAATATTTTTTCATCCAACTTTGCAGGTCTGTCAGGTACATGCTGAACTGGTGCCTTTTGCTATTAAGAAATTTTAGAAAATTTTATTTTTTACGTTTCCATGGCAACAATATGGACTTAGGTTCTGTGAGGGTAGGGTTCGTTTCCGGAGCATAACACATAAACCGTTCAATATTTTTTCATCCAACTTTGCAGGTCTGTCAGGTACATGCTGAACTGGTGCCTTTTGCTATTTAGAAATTTTAGAAATATTTATTTTTTACGTTTCCATGGCAACAAGATGGACTTAGGTTCCAAACTCATCTTTTTTTTACAATTTCCATGACAAGTTCCACCTCGGTTAAAAAAGGTTAGGGTTTGTTTAGATTAAATTATGTCATAAATTCTGCAACAGGGGCGGGGGATATAGCCACGTTAGTGGCAAACTCTTGTATTGTATAAAATAAAATAATCTTGTTAGTAAAAGGACGTAACCTCATGGTCATTTCTCTTCTGCAGATGAGGTCCGTACCGGCACCTACCGCCAACTGTTCCACCCCGAGCAGCTGATCACCGGCAAGGAGGACGCCGCCAACAACTACGCCCGTGGCCACTACACAGTTGGCAAGGAAATTATTGACCTTGTCCTTGATCGCATCAGGAAGCTAGCTGACCAGTGCACTGGACTCCAGGGCTTCCTCATCTTCCACAGCTTCGGTGGCGGCACTGGCTCCGGCTTCACCTCTCTGTTGATGGAGCGTCTCAGCGTCGATTACGGCAAGAAATCCAAGCTTGAGTTCGCCGTTTATCCCGCCCCTCAGGTGTCTACAGCCGTCGTGGAGCCCTACAACTCCATCCTGACCACCCACACCACCCTGGAACACTCCGACTGCGCCTTCATGGTCGACAACGAGGCTATCTACGACATCTGCCGCCGCAACCTTGACATTGAACGTCCTTCCTACACTAACTTGAACCGTCTCATTGGTCAGATCGTCAGCTCCATCACTGCCTCTCTCCGATTTGACGGTGCCCTGAACGTGGATCTGACCGAGTTCCAGACCAACTTGGTGCCCTACCCACGTATCCACTTCCCTCTGGCCAACTACGCCCCAGTTATCTCTGCGGAGAAGGCCTACCATGAGCAGCTGACTGTCGCTGAAGTCACCAACGCTTGTTTCGAGCCCGCCAACCAGATGGTGAAATGCGACCCCCGTCACGGAAAGTACATGGCCTGTTGTCTGCTCTACCGTGGTGATGTTGTCCCGAAGGACGTCAACGCCGCCATCGCCACCATCAAGACAAAGAGGTCCATCCAGTTCGTCGACTGGTGTCCCACAGGTTTCAAAGTCGGCATCAACTACCAACCACCAACTGTTGTCCCCGGTGGTGACCTGGCCAAGGTCCAGAGAGCCGTTTGCATGTTGGCAAATACAACAGCCATCGCCGAGGCCTGGGCTCGTCTTGACCACAAGTTCGACCTGATGTACGCCAAGCGTGCCTTCGTCCACTGGTACGTGGGTGAGGGTATGGAGGAGGGAGAGTTCTCCGAGGCCCGTGAGGACTTGGCTGCCCTGGAGAAGGACTACGAGGAGGTTGGAGTCGACTCTATTGAAGGAGAGGGCGATGAGGATGAGGGTGAAGAGTACTAATCAGTACATCCCATTTCGCGTATTCCAAACGTCTGTTATTCAGCTCAATAACATTTCAGTTCAGACACGTTTATGTTGAAATTGGCTTTGCAACCACGACTGTTGTTTACATATGCCTTCGTGTTGTTATGTTTTAAATTGAAAATTTAAAATGAATAGATCTGAAAATTAAAAAAACCTGCAGACGAGTTTTTACTTTGATTTTCGTTTTTTTAGACCTGCTGAGAAAAAGACCAAGTACATAAAATTACGATGCCATTGAGCCCGTCTTTTGGTGGGCTGCATCCAGTCGGTGCAAGGTCTTCGTGTGCAAATACAAGTCGGTGCAAACAAATTACATGTTGTTTGGGTCATTTTGGGGATCTTTGCCCGTCACATGCTCCACATTAGAAGTGGTTGTGCGATAGTCTTGTGGTTGTCCGTTGTCACGCCTAAGTCCCGGGTTCGATTACCCCGACGTGATGTGGCTGGAACATTGCCAAAAACGGCGTGATAACATACCCATTCGCTTTCCTTTACAACCACCCGGAGGCGAAAATCATTGCTCATAGTATCCGTCACTAGATTGTCTAGTCCAGACTATTGAAGGGCCGCCGTCATATTGCAGAAACATTGCTCGGTGAGGCGTTAATCAACAAACACGCACGCCTTTATAACCGTTCCGTTTGTCGGAGTACAATATATACAGTTCCTGGCAGACGTCTGCGTGTAATGTTAGGACATTCGTTGATGTATTGACCTTTATGTCAATGGGATAGGCGCCGTATTCGGATACCTAAAAGGTGCACCCACAGGGCGGTCGAAGGATACCCTCACAAATGTTCCCCTTCTCATTCAAACGTATAAATCGACACTGGTGTATCCCTCAGCCATACGAACCGTGAAGATCCGGGGTAGAATAGGTCTTCAGCAACCCATGGTTGTCTAAGAGGCGACTAACTGGATCGGGTGGTCAGGCTCGCTGACTTGGTTGATGCATGTGATCGATCCCAATTGTGTGGATCGATGCTCATGTTGTCAATCACTGCACATGGATTGTCTTGTCCAGACTCGATTATTTACAGACCGCCGTCATATAACTGGAATGTTGCTGAGTGCGGCGTTAAACAACAAACCAAACCCACCAACCCTCAGCCATGCTAGGATCCGCTACTACTGTGTTCGAATACCGGACTGATGATCTTTTCATCCTTTGATAACTTAAGGCAGCTTAAAAGCTCTCCACCCATTCAGGCAGATTTTCCCCAGGATTGAACACTCTGGGTTATGTAACAACCTCAACCGTCCACGTATCCGATCATCACGGGTTGGAATCCCAGATACACGCCCCATTCCCATGTACGTACATTTCACCAAACAGATCAACGTCTGACCCGAATCCATTCATCATTTCCTTCTACGTTGATCTGACGATGTGCTGTAAGTGAAGTGGGGCATCAATGAGTAAGACCAAATAATAACAAATGTGAAACGTCTTGGACTTGAGAACTTCTCTCATAGATCTGTGTTAAACTAATGTAAAGAAAGCCCTTTGCACTTGTGAATGTGAATTAGTTCTAGGTTACACCCCTAGATATACGTGCCTACAGTCGCAAGGTAGAAAAGTAGTAAAAGCGGGCTTGTTGAATCTTCACGATTTCTCCCCTTGACATTTTGCAAAAGGATTAGGGTAGAACAAACACGTTACAATTGTTGCCAGGGCAGAATTGTCCAGGATGTTTGTAAACCGATGAGGTTGAACGTCCCCAGCCTGAGTTGCCCAATGCTCGTCAGGAACCTTGAGCTGGTTTATCATGATAGTTCAGGGCGGATTGCCCCGTTCGTCACCACTCGCCTCTTTCCGTAATCAGCCATTCAGAATGACATGAGCCCTGGGCCCTGTGTTTTCGGAAATAAACAATAATTCATATCAGTATCTTTAAGTAACTGTTGCATTTGAGAAGCTTTGGAGCAAAGAAGACAAGGGTTAGACTTCCGCCCGTATCCCCCCTCAAAACTATATTTAATTAAAAGGTTTGAGCGGCAATGCATACATATATAAATTTTGGAGGTGCAAGACGAGGTGACTCGTGGATTTTTCAACTTCTTTTGTGCTTTCAGTTCGACGTTTCGGTACAATGCTGGGTAAAAATAGATCTTCGGCAGCCCATGCATGCCGTAAAAGACGACTATACTTGTAAGAGGCGACTAACGTGGTCGGGTTGTCGGGCTCGCTGACTTGGTTCATGCATGTCATCATGTCCCAATTGCGTAGATCGATGCTCATGATGTCAATCACTGGATTATCTGGTTCAGACTCGATTGTTTACAGACCATCATACATCGAAAGAATATAAGAAGTCCACATCAATATAATATCAGATCAAGGTGGAATTGTCAGTCGTTCGTTTCTTGTGTACTTTCATTGTCGCTGAAGACAAATTGATTAAAAATGAAAATTTAGATTTGCATGTTTTTGCAGTGTTCTCAAACCTTGTTTGTTGAGCATGACATGATAGACTCGTCAGGAAGCCGTGTGGGATGTGAGGTGTCGCTGATAACAAAGGGTACTTACCTGAACTATGATTGTATATCCTAAGTCTTAAAAAATCACGGGCAGTGGGGTAGCCTAGTGGTTAAAGCGTTCGCTCGTCACGCCGAAGGCCCGGGTTCGATTAACCACATGGATACAATGTCTGAAGCCCATTTCTGGTGTCCTCTGCCGTGATATTGCTGGAATATTGCTAAAAGCGGCGTGAGTCCATACAAAATCACCTATTCGTTGTGCGGAGTTGCGTTCATCGGGCGTACCGGGATCCTGTCGACGACGGGGATTCGCGGCCCGAGTGAGTTGGGTTTAACGCTGTTTCGAACAGTATTCCAGTTATATCACGGCGTGTCAGCTTAATATGTAAATGAAAACCTGAAGTGATGCATATCGTGGATCTACTTTGAAGAAACCCACAAGCAGGGGTATGGCGCAGGCAAACATAGAAACACTCGGGGAGGGACCGGGATTCGACCCCACGATCGTGGCTTTCTGGTGTGTCCAAGGGACGCAACTCTGCACAGCGAATTGCGGCGCGTTTGATGACTGGGCCACCCGTGCCCCCCGTTTCATATGTAGAAGAGACTCGTAGATTTCTCCAACGTGGTAAACGTCTATAATCCCATTACTAGAACCCTGAGCGAACATGGACAGTTGATGGCAGACATCGGGCTTCTGCAAATGATAATGCCCTGAAAATTGCGTTACGATCAGTATATCGAGTAACACGTAGTCAGTTGTAGATAGATATCTAGCTCTATATACCCCTTGCATGTCGCCAGAGCTGGCTTCATTGATCGTTCCGCGGGTCGTTCCTATTGGATTTCATGTCCCGGTTCGGTTATTTAGGGTCAGGTTTTATAGCTACAATTGCTGTTACAAACACCTCCTTCGTTTGTCTGCAGCATGGGAAACGCACCAGCACTGCTTACAGACAGACCTACTGACAACATTTCTCAGATATAAGGACACGTACATACATGTACTATTCCTGTTGATATAAGCCAGTTTTTGCCTAGTCCGCATGGTCCATGTTGTATGTCATCGTTCCCCTATTGCTAATGCAGTCAATCACGGGTTTCCTTGATCCAGATCCGATTATTTACAGGCCGCCGCGATGTTGCTGGAATATTTCTGATGGGCGTTCAATAAAATCCGATTCACTGAAAACCCAAAGCGTATGTGACCTCCTTCCCCAAACTGCCATACTCTGAATAACGTAACGAATTGGTCTTACCTGAATTGGACTATTCATTTGTTAGCGTACATTGACTGGGTAAACAAGCAATGTGTAACTAGGTCGTGTGCATGAGCGCAGCGGTCAAGCTGGTCCAGTTCATGCGCTCTGTGTCAGTGACGGATGATGACCCAGTCATCGTCATGAGAAAATACTATAGGAAATATGGCCTTGTGTGGTGGATGGCATTGACTGGGACACAGTCTATCAGACGTTTGATAATAATTATTGTAGGCGCTAAAAGCGCATATTTTTCGTTCCAACTTAGGGATGCACAACAGTTTGAAATGTCCAGGAAATCGGAAATATCTTTCTTGTACAATCTCATTAAAATCAGATCTTAATTAGTTCTCGCCTTATATACATACAATTATACAAGCAAGTCAAATCGTTTAAGAACGTGTCGCTGTATTACGTAAGGTAGGCTATAGAAATGATATATACTGAACAACAAAAGTTCCTTTGACATTGAATAAGATTAAATGCAAAGTTATGTTTTTACCAAATCTGATCAATTTCGGTTTGCAACAGATAAAAGACTCCTTTAAGTGTTCAAATGGTTTAATTTGCCATACTGAGTTCTGAAAATGCGTGATTTCATAAAAAGAAACATGAGCATGCCAAAATGTCAATTTACAAATCAATCGCGTGTATGTCCACCTCTGGTTGTGATGCAAGCAACACATCTTCGTCTCATGGAACGGACCAGGCGTCGCACAAGTACTGTGGGATATCTGTCCATATCTGATGGAGCATGTTCCTTGAGTGTCTGTGGAACACGTGGTTGACATCCAAGGCGCCGATCCATCTCATCCCACGTGTGCTCGATTGGTGAGAGATCAGGGGAGCGAGCCGACCAGGGGATGACATTCACGTAGTTTTGTTGAAGGGATTGCTGATCAAGTCGAGCAATAGAGGCCGGGCGTTGTCGTGTTGAAAGGTAATGCCTGGGCCATGACGACGCAAAAACGGTAGAACAACAGGGCCGATGATCTCGTCGCGGTAGCGCTGCCCATATCTGTCTTGCTCTAATCCCACCCCATACCATAACGCTGCCGCCCCCGAACCGATCTTCTTCCATGACACAATGATTGACGTAACGTTCACCTCGACGTCGGTACACTCGAACCCGTCCATCGCTGTGGCTGAGGTGAAAACGAGACTCATCAATGAATAGAACTTGTCCCCACTGCATGGCCGTCCAGCGTAAACGCTGTCTGCACCACTGTAGACGTGCTTGACGGTGATTTCCTATCAAAATGGGACGTCTGGCGGGTCTTCTGGCGACAATCCCTGCACATCTGAGGCGGCGACGTACGGTTTGTGAAGATATTCGTCGAAGGCCAGGGATGCTTCTTGCAGTCACTGTTGCTGGCTGGAATCGATTTCGTAGGTGTGTTGTTCGAATCCAGTTGTCTTGTCGATTAATGGTTACGCGTGGCCTGCCACTCCGAGGATGGTCTCCGACTGCATTCGTCTGTTGCCAACGTTGCCATAAACACCAAATGGTGTTTCTGTGGACGTTAAATTGTTTTGCAACATCACGTTGACTCGACCCTGCTTCAAGCATACCAATGGCTCGTAGACGCTCATTTTCGGACAGGCGTGGCATTTCGTAATGTTGAATACCGTAATTGCGTAATTTTGTTGTTTTTCTGAGTGGTTGTTGTCAGCACGATGCTAAACAATGCATATGGAATCCCGTTAACATGGTTAACGCACATGTTTTTATACCCATTCTTGGGTAGTGAAATGCATCGGGCTTGCATAAAAGTCAACTTTTGCATGGAATGCATGCTTTTCTGAAGCAGTTGCGTTTTTGTGACTTGATTCCATACATGTACAACAATATTGAAAACCAAACTTTACTTGTTTGAAAAATACACTAAAATATTGGTGTCACAGGAACTTTTGTTGTTGAGTATATGTCAACAAGTGTTTCTCCTATCACGCTGTATTAACACCGGAGGGTTGGTCTGTACACACAAGACTCACGTCCGGGAGTCGAGTCGGTCAGGAAACGTGCCAGGAAGACAGAAACAGAATATCCGAATATACATGTTAGTAACACTGCACCCACTATTAGATCAACATAAGGATGTGTTTCGTGTCGGATCTCTTGCGCCGCATCTGAATTTTATTTCCTCCTCGCGATACAGTTTATGAATTTCCGCTACCATTTTGTGTCGGTATACATTTAGGCATATACATGTAAAGCTGCGTCTGTCTATGATTATTACTACGTACAAACAATGAAAAGTTGTTTGAAATGGTGGCGGTATATTATAACGTGTTATGCGAGACAGGTCCCCGGTTACCGCCCACAGCACAGCACGCTCTCCCACCGACGCAAAACCCAGTTTACAACCATATGCAGTCATCACTGCGCAGGAGTGTACAGCGCAGAGGAGCGTGAAACATAGAACCCGTTTACAACATAAACACGGATTAGAGTTGTCTCCCTTACACCACTCTCTTGGTTATGAAAACATGTTGCCTTAGCAGTCGAATGTTTGTAAATAAGCTTTGACCGTTCTGACATCACTATTTTGGAGTTAGTTTATCACAACGTTCTCATCCCACAAGATACAGCTATGAGTTACTACGGCGGTGCATACCAGCAGCATCCGTATAGCGGCCAACAGCCACAGCCGTACAGGCAGCAATATCAACAACAGCAAGCATACCAACAGCCAGCCTACAACCAACAGCACCTGCAGAATTACCAACAGCAATGGCAGCAGAGTCAACACTACGGGCAGTACGGCAACTATTACCAACAGAATGTCTTCTCCGTTCAGGCACACCAGGTACACATGTCGCAGGACCTCCGCCACGATCCCGTGTATATACTGCATTCTGTGATTGAAAATATCGTTAGTCAGCCAGGTCAACACCCACTAAATGACTAGTCAGCCAGGTCAACACCCACTAAATGACTAGTCAGCCAGGTCAACCCCCACTAAATGACTAGTCAGCAAGGTCAACCCCCACTAAAAGACTAGTCAGCTAGGTCAACACCACTAAATGAATAGTCAGCTAGGTCAACACCCACTAAATGACTAGTCAGCCAGGTCAGCACCCACTAAATTACTAGTCAGCTAGGTCAGCACCCACTAAGTGACTAGTCAGCTAGGTCAACACCCACTAAACTACTAGTCAGCTAGGTCACGACAGATACCACAAAATCTATTTCATGATCTCAAGTCACCTCTATCTCTGGTCAGCTGGGTCAACAGTCACCTACACATCACGAGACTGATCAACACTGTCACTATCAGAAACGTCATCACAGGTCACCTACACTGTTTAGATAGGTCAAGATGACAAGAAAAAACACATAATACAAATGACATGTCTCTTCTACGTATGAAACGGGGGGGCACGGGTGGCCCAGTCGTCTAAGGCGCCGCGATTCGCTGTGCAGAGTTGTGTAACTTGGGCATTCCAGAAACTTATGATTGTGGGTTCAAATCCCGGTTCGCCCTGATTATGTTTCTAGGTTTGTCAGCACCATACCAGTGCTCGTGGGTTTCTGAGACCTGCATCACTTTGGGCTTTCCTCCCACATTAAGCTGTCACGCTGTGATATAACTGAAATACTGTTAAAAGCGGCGTTAAACACAACTCACTCACTCACTCACTACATATGAAACCGACATGTCTCATAATATATGATGGGATCGTGTTGATCCGTATTGATTCCAGAAATACAATGTTTGTTGATTTTACTTTTAAAGATTGACAACCTCTTGCTTTACAGATGGTGACAGTACTGGTCATAAATTTGCGAGGACAATATGTCCAACATGTGACCATTATAAGTCTTCATTATGCGTGCCTTGGAGAAAAATAGGAAACACATGATTCAATTTCAAGAAGCTTGGTTTATCCTTTTTCACTTGTGGAAAGAAAGAAAAGTGTGGTGCTGTGCGGCCATTGGTTGGACATTGTGGTGATGTCTTGTGATTTGTTGAGTGACAGGGCCTAGTGATCTATCTCACGTTTGAGTAGCCTGTAACTCACGTTTATGATCCTCACCTGTCAAGTTCAGAGCAAGCGACATTATTACAATGTGTGTCAAAAACATCTACATCTACTACATCGTACTAGCCCATATTAGTCACTTTCAGTTGACGGAATCATTTCTAAAACAGTTTTGTAGGTTTTTGTGTTTAAGAGTGATTGGAAATGACACAATACTAGATACAAAATTATTGTAATAAGGACCTTTTTCAAACTAAGTAAACTATGTAACCAGTAAAAAACATTATCAGTGATTATCTTTATCTGACTTTTAGATTTCATCACTTCAGCCATAATTGGTGAGGTAAGAATGGTTAGTACATGCTGCCATTCAACCAGTGTCAACCTGGGAATATTTAACTGTATGTTCAGAACATGTACCTGCTGCTGTTGAACCAGTGTCAACCTGGGAATATTGAATTGTACGTTCAGAATATGTACCTGCTGCTACTCAACCAGTGTCAACCTGGGAATATTTAACTGTACGTTCAGAATATGTACCTGCTGCTACTCAACCAGTGTCAACCTGGGAATATTGAATTGTACGTTCAGAATATGTACCTGCTGCTACTCAACCAGTGTCAACCTGGGAATATTGAATTGTATGTTCAGAATATGTACCTGCTGCTACTCAACCAGTGTCAACCTGGGGATATTGAATTGTACATTCAGAATATGTACCTGCTGCTGTTCAACCAGTGTCAACCTGGGAATATTGAATTGTACGTTCAGAATATGTACCTGCTGCTACTCAACCAGTGTCAACCTGGGAATATTTAACTGTACGTTCAGAATATGTACCTGCTGCTACTCGACCAGTGTCAACCTGGGAATATTGAATTGTACGTTCAGAATATGTACCTGCTGCTACTCAACCAGTGTCAACCTGGGAATATTGAATTGTACGTTCAGAATATGTACCTGCTGCTGTTCAACCAGTGTCAACCTGGGAATATTGAATTGTACGTTCAGAATATGTACCTGCTGCTACTCAACCAGTGTCAATCTGGGGATATTGAATTGTACGTTCAGAATATGTACCTGCTGCTGTTCAACCAGTGTCAACCTGGGAATATTGAATTGTACGTTCAGAATATGTACCTGCTGCTACTCAACCAGTGTCAACCTGGGAATATTTAACTGTACGTTCAGAATATGTACCTGCTGCTACTCAACCAGTGTCAACCTGGGAATATTGAATTGTACGTTCAGAATATGTACCTGCTGCTACTCAACCAGTGTCAACCTGGGAATATTGAATTGTACGTTCAGAATATGTACCTGCTGCTGTTCAACCAGTGTCAACCTGGGAATATTGAATTGTACGTTCAGAATATGTACCTGCTGCTACTCAACCAGTGTCAACCTGGGAATATTGAATTGTACGTTCAGAATATGTACCTGCTGCTACTCAACCAGTGTCAACCTGGGAATATTGAATTGTATGTTCAGAATATGTACCTGCTGCTACTCAACCAGTGTCAACCTGGGGATACACACAGTAGTTACTTGCCCAATCCAGGGAGTGAGCAACACTCATTATGTATTGACTTGGGCAGGGCGTGGCCAAGACTCAGGGTTTGCGTATATCACGGATTGGGCAGTTCCTTAAATTACACACAACATACATGTCGTATAAGCATGATGAGTGCTTAGAAATTGCCATAGCAGTGCTGATGTAAACACAGGTTTGGAAAAAAAAAGTGTTCAACTTGAGGATCAAAAAGTGATTAATAAAATTGGATTTCAGGCAAATTTGTAACATTGTTGTTAAGTTGTTATCATAGTTTGTTTAGTACATGTTTCAAATTGTATTTCAGGCTTTCCAGTTCAACAGTGTAGATGAACTCCGCCATGTTTTCATGTCTGAGATGTCCAAGAATCCTGAAAACCAGGTAACATCTGTAAAATCATCACAATATTGGTTCACGGTAGTATTCAACATTTTCATCATGAATATGGATATTTTTTACAATAAATCACTTCTTATAACCTTCTTCTTTGTATCACAACTTAATGGCTGTTCATGTTAACTGGACAGTAAAATGGTTCAATCAACCTGTTGTGAACGTAGTTATCAGCATAGTCAAGATAATGTCCAAATTTCGTTTTTTCTTAGGGAAGAAATGCAATTCAAGCTGAGGACTTGGTGAATATTCTCAACAACACACCGACTATAAGGAATTATTTCAGAGGTGAGGCAAGAGGAATGGCAGACAAAAACTCCATGGTAGCTGTGGACATGGTGGAGGATCTATTATTGGTGTGGGTGTATGGGGGTGATGAGCAGGAATGTCATTATGACACATTAAGTACAAATTATTATGCATGTATGTTAAACTAATTTTCGACATCGGGTTCGTAAACAACATGGATTTCAACATGCAGATTTCGAACTGGGCATTGAAATATATTTTCCACATCTATTCTTGTTTTTAATCAAGGTGCTCAAATGATGTGATGCATGTCACTAGGTAAGGCCCGTTTCATTACAATATAGATCTTGATTATTGATCAAATCGTCTTGACTGGGCGCCGCCATTTTGTTTGAAGCAAATACAAGTGATGTGAAAGATGGAATCTGATTTATCAATAAAAGGGACATAACTCGTAATGCCCACTTATGGCGCTACAATCGACCCACGAAGTTCCAGCATAGTTCGGCAAGGTCGGAAACTGGACTTTTGTGGTCAGTTGACTTGCTTGCCTCGGGAAGATGCATTGTGTCAATGTTGGTGATGTCTATTTGATTTGCATGGTAACATATATAAATAATGTTAAAAATACATTCCTATCTACATAATTGTTTGGACATTGTTCAAACCAGGATGTTTTTGTAAAGATTTTCAGTTTGTAATCAGCTGTTCATCGTGTTAATGTTTTTCTGTTGACATTTCAGTCAATTGGAGTCGAGAATTATGCAGGTAATTTCATTTTTTGTAAATCTTATTTCACCTGTTTATAAACACATTTTTATTCTATAAGGTCTTCACTGCAGTACGTGGATACAGTGAACCCCTGTGAGATTCCCATGTGTGTGTGTGTGTGTGATGAATGACATGTATTCTCTACCTTGTACACAACTAACACAAAGTAATGGACAGATTGTACTGTACTGCTGTACGTGGATACAGTGAACCTCTGTGAGATCCCCATGTGTGTGTGTGTGTGTGATGAATGACATGTGTTCTCTACCTTGTACACAACTAACACAAAGTAATGGACAGATTGTACTGTACTACTGTACGTGGATACAGTGAACCTCTGTGAGATCCCCATGTGTGTGTGTGATGAATGACATGTGTTCTCTACCTTGTACACAACTAACACAAAGTAATGGACAGATTGTACTGTACTGCTGTACATGGATACAGTGAACCTCTGTGAGATCCCCATGTATGTGTGTGTGTGTGTGATGAATGACATGTGTTCTCTACCTTGTACACAACTAACACAAAGTAATGGACAGATTGTACTGTACTGCTGTACGTGGATACAGTGAACCTCTGTGAGATCCCCATGTGTGTGTGTGTGTGTGATGAATGACATGTGTTCTCTACCTTGTACACAACTAACACAAAGTAATGGACAGATTGTACTGTACTGCTGTACATGGATACAGTGAACCTCTGTGAGATCCCCATGTGTGTGTGTGTGTGTGATGAATGACATGTGTTCTCTACCTTGTACACAACTAACACAAAGTAATGGACAGATTGTACTGTACTGCTGTACATGGATACAGTGAACCTCTGTGAGATCCCCATGTGTGTGTGTGTGTGTGATGAATGACATGTGTTCTCTACCTTGTACACAACTAACACAAAGTAATGGACAGATTGTACTGTACTGCTGTACGTGGATACAGTGAACCTCTGTGAGATCCCCATGTGTGTGTGTGTGATGAATGACATGTGTTCTCTACCTTGTACACAACTAACACAAAGTAATGGACAGATTGTACTGTACTGCTGTATGTGGATACAGTGAACCTCTGTGAGATTCCCATGTGTGTGTGTGATGAATGACATGTGTTCTCTACCTTGTACACAACTAACACAAAGTAATGGACAGATTGTACTGTACTGCTGTATGTGGATACAGTGAACCTCTGTGAGATTCCCATGTGTGTGTGTGATGAATGACTTGTGTTCTCTACCTTGTACACAACTAACACAAAGTAATGGACAGATTGTACTGTACTGCTGTACGTGGATACAGTGAACCTCTGTGAGATCCCCATGTGTGTGTGTGATGAATGACATGTGTTCTCTACCTTGTACACAACTAACACAAAGTAATGGACAGATTGTACTGTACTGCTGTACATGGATACAGTGAACCTCTGTGAGATCCCCATGTGTGTGTGTGTGTGTGATGAATGACATGTGTTCTCTACCTTGTACACAACTAACACAAAGTAATGGATAGATTGTACTGTACTGCTGTACGTGGATACAGTGAACCTCTGTGAGATCCCCATGTGTGTGTGTGATGAATGACATGTATTCTCTACCTTGTACACAACTAACACAAAGTAATGGACAGATTGTGCTGTACTGCTGTACGTGGATACAGTGAACCTCTGTGAGATCCCCATGTGTGTGTGTGATGAATGACATGTGTTCTCTACCTTGTACACAACTAACACAAAGTAATGGACAGATTGTACTGTACTGCTGTACGTGGATACAGTGAACCTCTGTGAGATCCCCATGTGTGTGTGTGTGTGTGTGTGTGATGAATGACATGTATTCTCTACCTTGTACACAACTAACACAAAGTAATGGACAGATTGTACTGTACTGCTGTACATGGATACAGTGAACCTCTGTGAGATCCCCATGTGTGTGTGTGTGTGTGTGATGAATGACATGTGTTCTCTACCTTGTACACAACTAACACAAAGTAATGGATAGATTGTACTGTACTGCTGTACGTGGATACAGTGAACCTCTGTGAGATCCCCATGTGTGTGTGTGATGAATGACATGTGTTCTCTACCTTGTACACAACTAACACAAAGTAATGGACAGATTGTACTGTACTGCTGTACGTGGATACAGTGAACCTCTGTGAGATCCCCATGTGTGTGTGTGATGAATGACATGTGTTCTCTACCTTGTACACAACTAACACAAAGTAATGGATAGATTGTACTGTACTGCTGTACGTGGATACAGTGAACCTCTGTGAGATCCCCATGTGTGTGTGTGATGAATGACATGTATTCTCTACCTTGTACACAACTAACACAAAGTAATGGACAGATTGTGCTGTACTGCTGTACGTGGATACAGTGAACCTCTGTGAGATCCCCATGTGTGTGTGTGATGAATGACATGTGTTCTCTACCTTGTACACAACTAACACAAAGTAATGGACAGATTGTACTGTACTGCTGTATGTGGATACAGTGAACCTCTGTGAGATTCCCATGTGTGTGTGTGATGAATGACATGTGTTCTCTACCTTGTACACAACTAACACAAAGTAATGGACAGATTGTACTGTACTGCTGTATGTGGATACAGTGAACCTCTGTGAGATCCCCATGTGTGTGTGTGATGAATGACATGTGTTCTCTACCTTGTACACAACTAACACAAAGTAATGGACAGATTGAACTGTACTGCTGTACGTGGATACAGTGAACCTCTGTGAGATCCCCATGTGTGTGTGTGATGAATGACATGTGTTCTCTACCTTGTACACAACTAACACAAAGTAATGGACAGATTGTACTGTACTGCTGTACGTGGATACAGTGAAACTCTGTGAGATCCCCATGTGTGTGTGTGATGAATGACATGTGTTCTCTACCTTGTACACAACTAACACAAAGTAATGGACAGATTGTACTGTACTGCTGTATGTGGATACAGTGAACCTCTGTGAGATTCCCATGTGTGTGTGTGATGAATGACATGTGTTCTCTACCTTGTACACAACTAACACAAAGTAATGGACAGATTGTACTGTACTGCTGTATGTGGATACAGTGAACCTCTGTGAGATCCCCATGTGTGTGTGTGATGAATGACATGTGTTCTCTACCTTGTACACAACTAACACAAAGTAATGGACAGATTGTACTGTACTGCTGTACGTGGATACAGTGAACCTCTGTGAGATCCCCATGTGTGTGTGTGTGTGTGATGAATGACATGTGTTCTCTACCTTGTACACAACTAACACAAAGTAATGGACAGATTGTACTGTACTGCTGTACGTGGATACAGTGAACCTCTGTGAGATCCCCATGTGTGTGTGTGATGAATGACATGTGTTCTCTACCTTGTACACAACTAACACAAAGTAATGGACAGATTGTACTGTACTGCTGTACCTGGATACAGTGAACCTCTGTGAGATTCCCATGTGTGTGTGTGATGAATGACATGTGTTCTCTACCTTGTACACAACTAACACAAAGTAATGGACAGATTGTACTGTACTGCTGTATGTGGATACAGTGAACCTCTGTGAGATCCCCATGTGTGTGTGTGATGAATGACATGTGTTCTCTACCTTGTACACAACTAACACAAAGTAATGGACAGATTGTACTGTACTGCTGTATGTGGATACAGTGAACCTCTGTGAGATCCCCATGTGTGTGTGTGATGAATGACATGTGTTCTCTACCTTGTACACAACTAACACAAAGTAATGGACAGATTGTACTGTACTGCTGTACGTGGATACAGTGAAACTCTGTGAGATCCCCATGTGTGTGTGTGATGAATGACATGTGTTCTCTACCTTGTACACAAATAACACAAAGTAATGGACAGATTGTACTGTACTGCTGTACGTGGATACAGTGAACCTCTGTGAGATCCCCATGTGTGTGTGTGATGAATGACATGTGTTCTCTACCTTGTACACAACTAACACAAAGTAATGGACAGATTGTACTGTACTGCTGTACGTGGATACAGTGAACCTCTGTGAGATTCCCATGTGTGTGTGTGTGTGTGATGAATGACATGTGTTCTCTACCTTGTACACAACTAACACAAAGTAATGGACAGATTGTACTGTACTGCTGTACGTTGATACAGTGAACCTCTGTGAGATCCCCATGTGTGTGTGTGTGTGTGTGTTTGTGATGAATGACATGTGTTCTCTACCTTGTACACAACTAACACAAAGTAATGGATAGATTGTACTGTACTGCTGTACGTGGATACAGTGAACCTCTGTGAGATCCCCATGTGTGTGTGTGATGAATGACATGTATTCTCTACCTTGTACACAACTAACACAAAGTAATGGACAGATTGTGCTGTACTGCTGTACGTGGATACAGTGAACCTCTGTGAGATCCCCATGTGTGTGTGTGATGAATGACATGTGTTCTCTACCTTGTACACAACTAACACAAAGTAATGGACAGATTGTACTGTACTGCTGTACATGGATACAGTGGACCTCTGTGAGATCCCCATGTGTGTGTGTGTGTGTGTGTGATGAATGACATGTGTTCTCTACCTTGTACACAACTAACACAAAGTAATGGACAGATTGTACTGTACTGCTGTACGTGGATACAGTGAACCTCTGTGAGATCCCCATGTGTGTGTGTGTGTGTGTGTGATGAATGACATGTGTTCTCTACCTTGTACACAACTAACACAAAGTAATGGACAGATTGTACTGTACTGCTGTACGTGGATACAGTGAACCTCTGTGAGATCCCCATGTGTGTGTGTGATGAATGACATGTGTTCTCTACCTTGTACACAACTAACACAAAGTAATGGACAGATTGTACTGTAATGCTGTACGTGGATACAGTGAACCTCTGTGAGATCCCCATGTGTGTGTGTGTGTGTGATGAATGACATGTGTTCTCTACCTTGTACACAACTAACACAAAGTAATGGACAGATTGTACTGTACTGCTGTACGTGGATAC